CCCCAAAACCCCAAAACCCCAAAACCCCAAAACCCCAAAACCCCAAAACCCCATTCTACAGCTATAATTTTGGATAAAAATTAAGAAAATGGATTCAGAAGAGGATAATGAAATTGAGTTACAGCAGAAATTAGCTCCTTCATTAGATAGTGAAGATTCGCTAGACTTAGGTAGTTATTTTCAAACAATCTATATGAGGCTATCACTACATAAGTCCAATTGTTTTCTGTCATATCCAGAAATACTCTCTAATCATTACAAGTTGTTTCGAGCTTTAGAATGTTAAAGCAGTATATGTCCTCCTTTGATTATTTCTGATAAGGGTTTGGGATTTATAGAAAATAGTTTTCAATGGGAATTTTATAAATATCTTTGGGTTTTGGAAATACAAAATAGGTTCTGAAGTTGATGCCAGTCTAGTTATTGATCAGTTTTGGCTAATGGGAGTATTTAATTGGATAATATAGATTCTAAAATAGACCAATTAAAATCAGAGAAAGATCAGATTACATATCTTGATGCCTTCAAAAATCTTGCGATTGCTTCTTTTACTTGTGCAGGAGGGCTTCTGCTTAGGAGATCAATGGAAATATTTAATTATATGATACTTGGAAGACTTGGAGACCCAGCATTAGTCTCAGGTGCTGGTCTTGGAAATAGTACAATTAATATTACATTGCTATCTATTGGAATCGGATTCACTGGAGCTATTGAAACATTATCTTCGCAAGCATTCGGCAAAGGAGATAATTATCTAGCAGGATGTTATTATACTCGGGCTCAAGTAATTCTGACTATAATTTTATTACCAATCTGTATAATGTTTTGGTATCTGACTCCTATTCTCATATATATCGGACAAGAAGTTCAAACATCTATTTATGCAGGAAATTTTGTTAGAGCTTGGATTCCTGGCACTTTTTCATTTTGCCAATCGGAGTGCTTGAGGAAGTTTTTAATAGCACAGGGTCAGTATTCTTTAATGCCAAAAATCCAGATTGGGACTTCTTTGCTTCATCCTCTCTGGTTATATATCAATGTATATATCTTAGATTTATCCATTGAAGGAGTAGCGTATTCTACAGTGACAACCCATTCATTAAACTTTCTGATCCCATATATATGGGTGTCATTTGATAAATCTCTCGTGAAGGAAGGATGATGGAACTTTATAAACAGAGACTCTTTTAAAGGACATCTTGAGTTCTTTAGATATGCTATCCCATCGTTCCTAAATCTTGGAAGTGAAGTCTGGTCATTTCAGTTCATGCACTTTCGAGCTGGCCTTCTAGGAGTTGCACAACTTGGTGCCAGCGTAATATTGATTAGTATTCAAGCCTTTCTTTATATGGTGCCATTAGGAATCTCTTTAATGGCGTCAAGCTTGATTGGAAACAATCTTGGAGCTTCTAAACCAAATATAGCAAGAACTTACTTCAAAGTGATTATTATCATTGTGACAATTATTGGATTTTTCTTTTCTCTTTCTTTGATTTCATTCAGATCTCAAATTGCAGATATTTTTACTACTGATCCGAATATCAAACACTATATGATCATTACTCTGCCAATAATGGCAGCTATGATATTCCCTGATGGAATCCAATGTGCTCTTTTTGGAATCATGAAAGCCATGGGATATCAGGCTTATGGAATGCCGATTTCTTTTGTTGGGTATTGGCTCTGAGCTGTTCCTCTTGGATATTACTTTGGGACTAGTTCAAGATATGGGCTTGTAGGCATTTGGATCGGCTATCCCATTGGGCTATCAATATTAGCAGTCTTGTCATTACTCCTTATTTTAAGGACCAATTTTGAGAAACTCTCTGAAAGAGTTGTTACTCAACTTGAGAAACAAAAGAAAGAACTTGAGAATAGAAAATAGGGTTTTAATTAATGTTCAACAATCCTACTAAAGCTGGGGTTTTGGGGTTTTGGGGTTTTGGGGG